CTGTGTCTGTCAGTCCACTATATTTGGGGGAAAAAATAGAGTGAAGTTTAAATTTCTCAGGTGAGTTGAAGTGAGTCAAAGATGTGAAATGTAGTTTTGAGTAACCACATACCTGAGAGGACTCACCCACATGAGCCCCCTATCAAGTATGAGGTTGGGAGAAGGGTGGAAAAGCTTTGTTCCCCTGAGCAGTATAATCAGCTAGGAACCCTGCCAGAGGAATGGTGAAAAACCAAGGAAGACGCCCATAAAGCCAAACACCTGTAAGTCCTTTTCAGAATATTTGGCATTGAAATGTAAATAGTGTAAAATCCTGTATGTGGCTTTCATTTTTCTTTTTTATGTTAATATTTCACTTAAGTTTGTAAGTATTTATGTGGCCAAAAACAGGGTTGTTTCTTGGGAGGAAGATAGAGAGGAGTGTGATAGACTAACTGTAGCAGTAATTTGTCCACACCCTTGCTAGGAAATTTGTAGAAGGAGCTAGGAGACTAATGTGGTGCATTGATTATCTATTGTGGTGTAACAAATTATCTCAAATCTTAGTAGCTTAAAATAATATTATTTTATTAGCATGTAATTCTGTGGGTCAAAAGTTTGGGCTGGGTTTAGCCAGGCAGTTCTCATTGCTGATTGCTGGTCTCTTATTGCTGGTCTCACCTGGGTTCACTCATATGGTATATTAGGCTGCCATGACAAAGTACAGAAATTGGGTGACTTAAAACAACAGAATTTATTGTCTTGCAGTTTCGAAGGCTAGAAGTTGGAAATCAAGGTGTGTCAGGGTGTCCACAGGACCATGCTGTCTCTGAAGGCAGTAAGGGAAGATCTTTCCTTGTTTCTTCCTAGCTTCTGGTGGTTCCTTGTTGTTCCTGGGCTTGCACATCCAGCACTCCAGTCTCTACTTCTGTCTTCAAGTGGCTCTCTTCCCTCTGTATTTCTCTCTGTGTCTCTTCTCCTCATTTATAAAGACAGAACTCATTGGATTAGGGCTAACTACAGTATGACCTCATGTTAACCTAACCGACACCATCTTCAAAGACCCTGTATCCAAACAAGATCACATTCACAGGGACTGAGGGTTAGAACATCAACATATCATGTTGGGGGACACAGTTCAGTTTGTAACATGGCTACAGTTATCTGGCAGCTGGAACGTGGCTGGTCAGTCTAAAATGACTCATTCACATGTCTTGGCAGTTGGTTTTGGCTGGTCTTTTATAGGCTTTCCCACACTTCTTCACATGTTGGCCAGGTTCTAAAAACGGCAAAGAGAAAACGAAAACCCACTGTGCAAGTGGTTTGCAAGCCTCTGTTCGCATCACATTTGCCAATGTCCCACATCAAGTCACATAGCCACGACCAGAGCCATTGTGTGAGGTGACTACACGAGAGAATACATACAGGGAGGCATGATTTATTGGAGACCTTAAGAGTAACCGTCTACCACAGGTGGGTATTTGACAGCCAGAGTAAATAGGTTCGACTTCAGGTGTTGGGGTTCTGCAGTTATCTTCTCAGGGAGTTTGTCACATGGAATGTAGCTCACACAGTGTTCCAAAACACCACCAACTCAGAGAAGTGGCACCTCCACCAGCAAGGAGCTGAGTTAACCCAAACTGTCTGATCCCTTTTTCATTCAAGAGGAATAGAATTTCAAATGTGAATTTTGTTCATATGTTTATAGATCATCTGCTGCTCTCTTATTTGGGGAAAGAGACATTTTATGGGTTCTGGTACCCAGGTAACTTTCCCATTGTCTGTGCCTAGATGCGCCGGAGAATCAGTCCTTCCTAAATGGGCTGAGAAGTTCAAAAACTAGTGGAGGTTAACTAGCGTAGACGTCCCTATCCCACATTTAATAAAAATAGAGCTGAATTATGCAAGTATGTAGATCAGCTAATCATCTGACCTAATCAGCAATGCAGATTCTAAAAAGCCTTTCTAATTACTTCCTCAGCTTGGCTGAAGGTATGGGTAAAAAGAGTTTCCCAGCATGATGGTAGCAGATGTATTTCATAATATTTATTGAAAATATTGGAAAGAAATCCTCAATTATGATGTTCCTGAAAAGTACATCAAGAAAAGATACCATATTTAACATATTTTAAACTTTGATTAAGGTATAAACATAGCACATACTTTAAATGATCATGTAACAGCTCTCACACCAGTTATTTGGAGTCTTTCATAGAGCTAGACTTAAATTCCAGATCCAGATTGCTTATTGGTTAACTGCCTAAAACTTTCTGAATTATTTACCTCTGAGAGTTCAGGTTGTCTTGGACAAAATGAAACCACCAGAATGTTCTCTTTTCTTTGGCTGTTTACTAACTTGGTGTCTTGGCAAAAGGGTTTTTAGTATGTGTGATGTTTCAGCTACTTTAAATGTTAAATTGTTGACAATTACAGGCATAAGTAATGCCACACAATATGTGACTTGGAAACCTGGATAGATTTAATGCTCATTTTCTTGGCTGAATTTGAGTAGTTATGAACGGCTGTTAAGTGAATCATCTCGTAACAGCAGAGCCCAAAAAGAAACTGCCTGCGAATTCCTGGCTGACATGGCTATTAGCGTCCCTGGGTCTTGTGCTATTTGAGTGCCCGTTGTTCATCTTTACCTTCTGTCTGTGAGCCGCTCAGTATCTTTCCGGTACATTCCTTTTCTATATAAATTAGCCTACTAAGCCAGTTTCTATTGCCTGCGACCAAAATAAATCTTAAATGATACAATGCCTTCAGGGCCACTGGAATAACTGAATGCTTAAGTAGCACTCTGTTATCAGGTGATGGTGGAACTGGTTACTTGACCCTGAAAAGAATTTCTCCAACATTCCTCTTCTGGAGAATCTCCTCTAGAGACCAAATGGAAAATAAATATAGGGTTTTTGTTGTTGTTGTTCTACAGTTCATGGTACACAGAACACATTCACAAACTATTACTGAATGTTACTACATGAAGCCTGCCATTTGAGGAGTGAATACTGTACTTGGGGAAGCCGTGAGTGTAGAGTCACATGAAAGTAAATCTTTTTATTGACAAGAAAATATGGACAATCCAATGAATGCTTTTATTTCTTTCTGAGTGACTTTGAAGCTAGAACATGGTTATAGAATTGAAAGTCAGAAGGTGTACTGCTTTTGTATGTCCAAACTCTTAAATCTCTAGATCACAGTTTCTCAACCTCTGCACGATTGACATTTTGGCCTAGTTAGTTCTTTGTTGTAGGAGCCTGGCCTGTGCATTGTAAGATGTTTAGCAGCATCTCTAGCCTCTGCTCACCAGATGCCAGTAGCAGTGCCATCTCCCCCCACAGTTGTGATAGCCACAAATGTCTCCAGACATAGCCACATATCTCTTGGGCTGGCAAGTTTGCCCTCAGCTGCTTTTTAGATTACTTGAGTTCTTTTCTCTGTAATTCATCCAGCGTTTACCAAACACTTCCATTGTGCAAAGCATGTATTGGTATGTGCCAGATTTGGTATGTGTCAACATATTAGCACATACTAGATTCAACAGATATAAATTCCTTCCCACCGACGTTTAGTTAGAAATATGTTGAAACTCTGTCCAGTTTTTCCAGCCATATTGTAAATATTAGGTAGAATCATAAGAAATTGCTGTTTTGTGGGTAAAATGTTATCATTTCCTTGTGGGTCTATCTAATGTATGATGCATAGTAACAAGAAAATGATTTGAGAAAAAAAAAAGAAATGAAATTCCAAATGTACCCAAATTTTATTGTAACTGTAATTTTAAGTGCATTTTACTTTCCTTTGCAAGCAGTGGTGGTTCTAGAAGTCTTATGCCGGCAGGTTTGAAGATAAGCCATCTGGTTGGAGCTGGCGGAGTTGAAGCATTATTTTAACACTGCAAGTTGCATAGTCGTGCGGTACTTTTAATTTAGAGAGTGTGCTTACTTTGTGCTTGAGGTGAGCACTGACTGATGGAGATTCTGGGCAACAGTTGCTAAAGCGATTTGTAAAGAGGAGGAGTTGGAAATGAATTCTAACTTGTAAAAATGTGTGCCTCCATATTAAATGTTGATGGTAATCCTCTCATTTGCAAGGATTGGATGGTGCTGGTCAACAGGGTTCAGAACAATAGGCTGTTTCTTGCTTTGGCAAGTTCACAGTGGGAAGAGAATCATGTTTAGAAATGCCTTTTTGAAAAATGAAACCAGGGTGGAGATGAAGAGCACTTTCCAACATACCTAAACAGATGTTTAAAATGCTCCTACTTCTGTTGTTTTCATAAATGTGCTCAAATCTCCACTTACAGCAGTAATGAACTGCAAGACAATGATTCACTGAAGTGCGAGAAATACTGAAAACTTCATTTTAGTCATGTAAACCTTATTTTTCTTTAAACTTATTATGAGAGCAATAAGGAAATGACATTGCCTCTCGCTCATGCTATCTACCTTCCAGGGAAAGTGCTAATGAGCAGTCATATAGCCAGAAATCTGGCCCCAGGAGCCAGGAGGAGGAAAAGCCAGAGGGTTGAACAGTAATTCATGAGATACATAATCAGCTTCTGACCACTCAGGAGTTGATAATATTATGGATTTTATAATTTCTTTTCTATAATCGGGAGCCCTGGTGGCACAGCGGTTAAAAACTCAGCTGCAAACCAAAAGTTCGCCCATTTGAATCCACCAGCGGCTCCTTGGAAACCCTATAGGGCAGTTCTACTCTGTCCTGTAGGGTCGCTATGAGTTGGACTAAACTTAATGGCAACAGGTTTTTATTCTATAATCGTACCCTGAGACTCTTGATACCTGATGTAGATTTTGTGAATCAAATAAACAAGTGGAAAAAAATCAATGAATACTCAGTATATAAAATACTTAGCTTTCTCCAAGTCCTGTAATTTCGAGAAGATTCCATTGGCGTGATATAGACAGAAGAGACATTCCATGCTTGATGTTGGTCCAGGACAAGGTTAACTTTCTGCACACTAATTTTAATTCATTATATATGCCTTTTTTTCCCAGCACAAATGGACCCTCGAGGCCTATCTCCCAGACAAAGTAAAAGTGACAGTGATGATGATGACCTGCCAAATGTGACCTTAGATAGCGTTAATGAAACTGGATCTACGGCCCTTTCCATAGCCAGAGCAGTACAAGAGTAAGTATCACATTCTCAGGATGAAATAAGAATTGCCAAGGTGTTCAATGGATAATGGAAACAGCAGCCTCTCCTATTTCCCAGGCATGTCACCCTAGCTCTGAACTGGCACGCACGTCAGCATCTTTCCACTCAGCTGTATGCTCTTTGGGAGAAGAGTAGGGGAAAGAATGGAGAGTTTTAAATAGTTGGAAATTTATGTCTTGATTAAACATAAGACCTGTATACATCTTTTCTAATATCTCCTGTATACTTCTTAACACTGGAAAAAAAGGTTTTTTTTTAAGTGTCAGTATCCAGTTATCATTATTATTTATACATAACAGCCAAGAGAAAGAAAATATATTATCTTGTTTTGATAGGAAATGAAAGAATAGCTTTTTTGAAAGTTAAAATTTAGATGATAATTTGTTAATACTTTGAAAAATAGGAAGCATATGCAATTTTTAAAGAGATCTTTCCTTCCCCTTTTGTCTGGACCATGGGGTTGGATTTTAGCCCTTGTTTAAACCCTGTGGGGCAGTTCTACTCTGTCCTATAGTGTTGCTGTGAGTCAGAATCGACTTGATGGCAATAGGTTTTGGTTTTGATTATTGAAAATGGCTGTTTTTCCTTCATTGTCAACTCCACGTATCTAGAATTGAACCAATGACTACTCCGTGTATATTTTTTCTCTAAAATAATTTTTAACAACATAACCTTAAAGAAAATGTGGATTTAAATAACCACCATCATTGCTGACACATGTTAATTAAGTTTGCTCAATATGATCTGAGTTACTTCCCATATATTAATTCCTTTTTACCATATGTTAATTAAATATCTACCATATATTAGGCTTTGAAACTAAATAATAATAATATACATTTGTTAGCCTTTTAGAATGTGCATAGTGTGTGTATATGTGCATATAAAATAACTAATACATGTTATGTAGATGAAATATATATTTATATTATTTGAATATATATATACACACACAGGATATGAAGAAACAGGATACAATGAATCTAAAATAAAATTGGGAGTCAGAAGTATCTGGATCCAGATTCACATTCAAGCTCTTAATAACTGCATGACTTCAGGTAGCTTATTTAACCACTCTGAGATGTTTCTTTAGTACAGGAAGAAAACAAAAATACTTAACTTACAGGACTCTTGTGAGGGTTTGATGTAGCTACAAGATATAAAAAGCAAGTAGCAGAGTTGGTGGTACATAGAAGGCATTTAGTTAATGCTGGAATTAGTATTGTCACTAGTAATGGTAGTAATTGTAATAGTGTACTAGTATGAGTATATAACAACTAGGATATACAAATGTGGCAAGTTTCATCATTCTAATTTTACAAATGAAGATAGTGAGGATCAGAGAAGTTGAATGACTTGTCCGAAGTTCTATAATAAATGGTAGCAAGGCATAAAATTTAGGACTTCTAACTCCAAAAACAGATCTTTTTCTAAGAGTACATGTAATATCTGTTACCAGTAATAGTCTTCCATTTAAATACTTAAAAAAACTTTTTTTTCCCTCTCATTTGTTTAAGTAACTGGTTATAGCACCTGATCTCCAAAGGAAATGTTAACTTGCACCAGGATAGGCAGTGAACCAAAGTGTTGCTGAAATTGCGTTTAAGAGAGAGGAGAGCTGAGTTTCTCAACCCTGATTCATAGTCATCAGTGCAGTGACCACGGTTTTGTGTGAGCTAAATCTTAAGATCTAGGATTCCATTTTCTTACCTGTAAAACTAGGCTAAGTGATGATAAGTTTCAATTCTGGGATGAGTATTAAGTTCCACTTAATATTATTATTTGAGTCACATTATTTTCCTGCATCATTGTAACACATGTATCACTTTTATGTATTTATAGAAATATATGTGCTTCTTTAGTTCAATGTGTAAAATTTGGGGCTGTGACTAGTAAAATCTAAATTATACTTACTCCATTTGGGGTTTATATGCAAATGATGATACTACCTTCTTAAATGTAACCATTTTTGTGCTTTTAATACTACATGATTATTATGTAATAGTACATTTTGATGTGAAGCTATTTAATAGCAGCCTCAGAAACAGGGTGTCATTTTCAAAAATATCTCTCTGACTTGCTTCGTGTATGTATTTTCAAGCTACAGTATTTTATGTAAGTGTACATATACCTGTCTTTATTACTACTACAGAATTTGCATGTGTCTCTTGGTAAATGCCAGATTCATTATTCATGTAAATATTTTCATTAAATCATTAGTAAAGAATACACTGAGCTGTCAACCTGGGAAGCCCTAGAATGCCAGGGCCCATCAATAGATGATTAGCCATCATTCAAGGTGGAATATGTGTATATAGACACTGAGGTGCTGAGATGCTATTAGATGAAGGAAAAACAGTGTTCCGCAGAAACGTCTTAAATATAGTATGTTTCAAAACTTAATATATTGAGAACAATTGTATTCTGGGACACATAATATGTAATCCATGTTATAGAATTTTTTTTTAAAAATCCTGTACCTAGGTTTACACAGTTTAACTTTAGCGTATACAGTTGTGAACTTGTTTTTATGCTTAGTGTCTCCTTAATTCAAATCACTATTTCACTATTAATTTTTCTTTCCTCTTTTCTGTTTGCCTTTGTATTCTGATGCCTTCTGTTGACTCAAAAGGGGTCCCCCCACAAAAAAACCCACATCCAAACATACCAGTCTAATATTATCAATAAAATAATGTATGAAACCATATATCCAATGAGAAATCTAATAACCAAAATGATATGAAACTTAAACAGCTTAACAACAAAAAGACAACCCAATTATAAATTGGGCAAAGGACTTTAATAGACATTTCACCAAAGAGGACATTCATATGCTCACCAGACACATGAAAAGATGCTCAGCATCATTTGCCATCAGAGAAATGCAAATCAAAACCGCAATGAGATACCATTTTACTCCCACTAGGATGGCTAAGATTTAAAAAAAAAAGAAAAGAAAATAACAAATGTTGACAAGGATGTGGGGGAAATTGGAACCCTTACCCATTGCTGGTGGGGATGCAAAATGGTGTAGCTATTGTGGAAAACAGTGTGACGATCCGTCAGAAAACTAAAAATAGAACTACCCTATGGCCAGCAATTCCACTCCTAAGTATATACCCAAAAGACTTGAAAGCAGAGCCTCAGACAGAGACTGTGTGCACCAATTGCAGCACTGTTCACAATAGCCAAAAGGTGGAAACAACCTAAATGGGCATTAACAGATGAATGGATAAACAAAACGTGGTACATGCATACAGTGGAATACTACTCAGCCAGTAGGAGAAATGAAGTCTTGATGCATGCTACAGTATGGATGGAGCTGGAAGACATTATTCTGAGTGAAATAAGTCAATCGCAAAAGGACAAATATTGTATGACCTAGCTTATATAAAAAGTCACAAAAAGGCAAATGTATAGAGAACAAAGTTTATTGGTGGTTATCAGAGGTAGGAAGCAGGGGAAAAGGGAGGATTAACAGTGATGGAAATACCTTGTTGATTAAGGATAGGGTTGCACAGCTGATTACTGTAAATGCTGTCAATAAGTTGTACACCTGTAAAAAGTTGAATTGGCAAAAGTTGTGTGATAAATATACTTACAACAACAACAAAGGTGTAGCTCCTGAGGCTGCTTATGTACAACCAAAAACTTCATAGGGTTTTGTTTCTTAGTTTGGAGGTTTAGGGTCATGATTTCATGGGACATCCCAGTTAATTGGTTTAATAACATGTTTAGTGCCTCTGTTCTACCTCTTAGTTCGATGCATAGTGCCTGGAGTCTTAAAAGCTTGCAAGCGACCATCCAAGGCACAATAATTGGTCTTTATTTACCTGGAACAACAGAGGTAGAAGGAGAGTCAGAAATAGGAGGAGAATATGGAATGTGTGGCTAATTGCCTCCATAAACAAATTCCTCCTTTGTCATGAGACCAGAAGAACTGGATGGTACCCTTCAGCCATTACTGAACATTTTGATCAAAGACTCCATAGAAGTATCCTGATCGAAAGGGGGACAATGCAGAACAGAATTGAAAATTTTAATGGGCTTCAGACTTCTGGAGGCATGAAGGTTGGATGAAACTGTTGCCCTTAAATAATCTATAAACCTTAAACCAAATATATCCCCTGAAGTCTTTTGAAACCAACAATAGTTTAGCTTAATTAGTAAAAAATAATGCCTTGAGCATTATGCTCTTTAAGAACGATCTATATGGGATCAAAGTGACAACAGCAACTCGAAAAATTAGTAGGAACCTTAAGGGGCAGTGAATTTATGTTAATGGGGGAGGAGCAACTCAGAAAAGGAGGGTGAGAATGGTTGCACAATTCAAAGAATGTAATTAAATCACTAAATGGTACTTGTAGCAACTGTTGAATTGGTGTTTTGATCTGTATTCTCAACAACATCAAAATAAATAAAATTGAAGAAAAATAATGCATTAACTAATAAAAAGATGAAACATCTTAGTATGTAAAGATGAGAGTATTTCAAAAGACATGTATTTTTTGACCTCTCTATTTCTGTACTTGCAGAACCTTCCCACGAGGGTTAAGTTGAGAAGAACATCTGCAGGTAGAGAGGTGATGAAATCAAAGTTTTATGGTAGCACATTTTACGTCCTAGGCAGTGAGTAAACATCTGTCTTTCCAGTTAAAGACAAAAAAAAGACTTTGCCTTAGAGAAGGGTTCAAGGCTGGTCTCTTACTTTATTGGCCAGCAGTGGAGGCTCAGTGAAGAGAAGGGGAAGTGAGAAAGGAGAAGGATACTAACCAGGATTGACACAAGAGGGTGATGTTAAAGAGCTTGCTCTATACCACCTCTACTGCCTGTGGGCCTCTGACAACAAGATGCAAAAAAAACACGAGATAAATATTTCCAGCTGAAGCTCTTCTTTCTCTTTCCGCATTCAAGTTCACAGCCCTGCCTCATGAAGTAACCGTTATAGTTTGGATTTTTAATCTGGTAACTTA